CTGGGGGCAGTGCCTGAAGCAACAGCAATCCACAGACCCTGTGCCCCTCCCTTCCCCACATTCCAGTCTCTTGCGAGGGCAGGGCAGACAGGCAGGCAGGGAGCCTGCCCTTCCCCTGATCCGCGTCGGGCTGGAGCCCCTCTATGTAAACGCTGGGGGACCACGAGGAGCTCGCGGGCTGCAGAAAATCACCCCGCGGGCCGCATGTGGCACGCATGCCGTGTGTTTGAGACCCCTGGTCTAGGACGATGGGGCCCAGCGTGGTTGACCTCTGGGCACTTATACAGTAGAAATGTTTATTAATAATTAATGTGCTGTACACCAAGGATAGATGACTCCATTCTCCTGGCACCAAATCCTTTTAAAAGCTACAGGAAGATGAGGACTTGTCTACCATTCAACGCTGAGACATCCTCAAGAGCAAGCTAGGCCTGCTGCAGACCACTCAGCTGGCAGCTGACACAGCTATAAGCCTCCTGGTTCCATACCAGTGTCATGGCCAGGGGTGAGGCAAAAGCGACAAAGGAAACACACCCACCATTCCTATAGAGCATGTCTTGCTCTAATCTATTATGTGAGTATATCCTGGGCAGGGCTGGCAGGTTCCCTGGGCAGGGCTAGCAGGTTCCCTAGCCAGGAACCTGATTGTTGCCTTAAGCACCAATCTTTGAGCAGCACAAAACCACCGGAGGCAAACTCTATAATCCTTAGTCAAGCAAAGAGCCCAGTGCCTTGATCAGGAGTTTTGCTATATAAGGAAGGTGCACTTTGGCCCATAACAATTCATTACAAAGCTGCAATAAACAAGGAGGTGCCCTTTTACTGGTGCTTTCAGGCCTGATCTCCTACAATCCCTTCTGCTGGCCCCGCTCTCTGTAAATAACCATCCTGTCCTAAAACAAGCTTTAGATTTCTTTTAAATACCCTGTTTCCCCGAAAATAAGACAGTGTCTTATATTAATTTTTGCTCCCAAAGATGCGCTAGGTCTTATTTTCAGGGGATGTCTTATTTTTCAGAAATGAAAAATGCCTTATTATCGGTGGATGCCTTATTATCGGGGAGGTCTTATTATCGGGGGGATGCCTTATATTACAACGAGAGGCAAAACTGTAAGTAGGCCTTATTTTCGGAGGATGTCTTATTTTCGGGGAAACAGGGTAGCAGGCTAAAGCCCTACTGTGGCTGAAAGCAAAACTGCAATAGAGTAAGAGATTTATTCCCCTCCCCTCCCCCCCCCCCCTTGGGCCAAGATAGGCTAGTGTTAATCAGGAGTACCCACAAATGTTGATGGAGCTGGTCTGATGACACTGACGTAACAGATCAGGAATCTGGCCCAGTGAAATAAAAGACCTAGCTCTGC